ATTAAAACGTACGCTGCAGCCATCTCTTCCTGTCACGAAGGGTTCGGAGACAGAACAGCGCTGATGAAGCGTTTTCTAAAAGGTGTACAAAGACACAGACCTGTTTCACACCCACTTGTTCCACAGTGGAATTTAACGCTGGTCCTGCGAGCCCGGATCAAAGCTCCATTTGAGCCACTGAATCAGGTTCCGATTAAATTCTTGTCTCTTAAAACAGCCCTGCTGCTGACTTTAACATCTGCTAAGAGTGTGAGTGATTTATCTGCCCTCTCTGTCGCTCCGTCATGCCTCAGAATTCAGGCTGACGGCAGCTCAGCTGATCTAAGACCAAATCCAGCTTTTATGCCTAAAAACATCACAAGCTCTTTTAAATCAAGAGAGATATCGTTGGAAGGGTTTTTCCCTCTCCCCCACAAATCAGAAGAAGAAGCATCTTTCCATCTTCTCTGTCCGGTGCAGGCGTTGACGTGTTACATAGCACGAACAGCTGCAATGCGTCAAACTCAACATTTGTTGTGTGGAGAGCGTGGTCACCGTCTGGTCGTGTTTCCCAGGAGGGACGGGACGCTGCTCCAACCTGGACAGCTTCGCTCCGAAAGCTTCCGCGAGGCTTGACTCAAGGGGGGGTACCGAGGGATAGCCCCGCTCTGTGAACCCCTCCACTCTGGTGATGGGAGCGAAAGCGGAGATGGGCGCTCTCAACTTACCAGGACCGGCTGCGGCCTCGTTCCAATACGACGTCACCGCTGGAAAACGAGGCCAGATGGGATCAAGACGGCGAGCCGGCGTGGAGCCAAACCTTCCCGCAAGATCATCCGATCTGGGCGGGGGGGGGGTAGGGAACGGAAAGTCCCTTCGCGTCAGCAGCTTCCCGGATAATGACAGCAACTCCGAAAGGAGTGCACCGACGGCAGGGAGCGATGGGCCGTTGAGGCGGGAAAACCCAGAGGGGTCGAGCATCCGCTTGGCCTCCCTCGTTCCAACACTGCGCTCCCCGGGAGGGAG